ATATTTAGTGGACCACTAAGATACATGACCTATTGGACTCAGCAACAAAAATACACTGGCTTTTTGATGATTAAGTAAGTGTGCTTGATGTGTGAAACCAGTAATGTTCAACTAAATGGAGTTGCTGACATTTCTCTCTTCAGATGGATTCCCACATGAAAAGTTTCCTATCTAGCTGAGATACAAAAACGGCTGCAGCACATAAGTGAAAAAGGAGAAAGGGGAAAAAAAAAACCCAAACCAAAACAAAAAATGTATAGAATCACAGCATTGCAAAATTAGAGCAGAAACAAAGCTAAAATTGATGTCATAAAACTAGTAACCTTGATGAAGGTTGAATCAAATCTGGTGTACTAGCACTTGAAGAAATATCCAAGCATTCTTATACTATTATCTTCCTATCCAGTACATATTTATAAGTCATGAACCAGACAGTAAGGAATTCTGGCAGCTGTCAAATGCTTGTTTTCCTATGTAACACAATGAAATTGCTCTCCAAGTGGTGAAACAGGTGTGACATTTTTCCAGTCTCAACTTCCTTATTTAGACAGCAAGGAAACTAGAAACTATCAGCTAGGAGATAAATCTTGGAACATCATCTTGAGAGATATTAACTAATATGAATGAGCAACTGGCTTTAGCTTTCCATAGATAAACACACACACCAAAAAATCAATAAAAAAGCTTTGCATTTACCTACTTGAAGGTAAGCCCTGATACAAGCATATTTACCACTGAAAAGTATCAACGTTCAAGTCAATTAATCTTTATTCAAAGTAAAATTAAGCACACAACAGTGAGATAGGAACACTAAATATTTGTCATGATTTGTCAGGACATCAAAGGTAGTACTTCAATCTACCAAACTTAATATCACTCTAAGGTTTAGCATTTATAAGCCTATTGTAGAGGTTTATTGAGAACAATTTTCTAAAAATATCATAGTGGAGTCTATGCCTTAGAAAATATATTTTTAGAAATGATCCATTGTATAGCTAACTACATATTGATGTTTACATTTAAGAACAGAAAAGAACTCTTAGAAACCTGTTTTTTAACATTACTTGACATCACACAGAAGTGCTACCCCACGCAGTACCCAGTGCTCTGGAGGCTGAAGGGTTTTAAGATCCAAAGCAGCAATGTAATTCTTATCTGTTCGTATGGTCTTTTTGTAGACTGGACATGAATACAGACGTGGGCCTTTTGAAGCTGAGAAGACAGAAGAGACATAAAAACAATGAAACTAGGTTGACAAACCAGACCCCTAAGGGACTGGGCATAAGGGAAATGAAAAATTGAATCGAAGTTCAGTAGCACACAGCCCTCTATCACCACCAAAGACGACTCTTACTTGATTCTCACACTGTTCACTACTGTGTTATTGCCAGCTGAAGGCCACATGTGTTACTGTCAGCTGAAGGCCACATATGGCTTGAAATTCCTGTAGGTTTAAGATTTAACATCAACACCTACAAACTGAATGTAGCAAGAAATGTAAATGGACACTCTAGCGTGATTAGCTTTATTATCTAAATGTAAATTATTGAATCTGCCCACTGAACATTACTTCTTGTCAATACATTATTTGTGTATCAAAATAAAAAAAATGCCCTATTTTGAACAACCTATTTTGAAATGTATTTAGTATTTCAGAGTGTAAAATGTCAAATTCTTCACTGCAGAATTAGAACAGTAGTCTAGTCATGCTTAATACTTGAGTGTTCATTATTTAGCATCTTGGCTGATTTTCATGCCATTTATAGAAGATCAGCTACACAAAATCTTGGCAAAATAGCACGTAAGCAGGCTTTGCTTTTGGAGGTGGAATGCTTTTCAACAGAAATTTTCAATTTTACGTTCAACAGTGGATAGTCCTATCTCATTTTACATCCCTATTCAACAGCATTTCCTATTCTCTATGCAAAAAACCCTCACATTAACTGAAATTATACATTTTCACAAAACAGAACTGTCCTTCAGCCCCCTAAGCTTCCTTCCCATTCTTACAGCCCTCTTCTGCCTCAAAGACAAAACATCTTCTACCACGTCACTCCATCTCTTGCTTGTTTCTGTTAGCTCAAGCATGGCCTTGTCCAGAAAAAAAAAAAGCATTTTTATAAATATACATGTTACATATATACCATGTTATCTATAAATACCTTATATAAGAAGATATACATGTTTTTATATAGATACATTGTGTATACATACTTATATAAAAGTTTTATATATATATAAATTACATTGGTGTGTAGGATGTGGGAAAGAGGTTATTTGGGTTTAGGTTACAGAGGTTATGTATATAAATGTTATCTTCTCAATCTAGGGCACATACTGTCAATGGAAGACTGAATGCAAGCATGTTTGTCAGAGGAGGCAGAGAACAGCTCATCTGTAATGGGTTTAAAAAGTTAAACAGCATTAAGACCAGAAGGTAGAGACCTATCTGACTATTAGGGGGAAAAGTGCCTATTATCAATTTTATATGGAAGACTGGGAAGTCTCCCCATTGAAAAAGATTCAGTATGTATACAATAGATAGCAATAACCTCATGAAATCCCTAAGGCCCAAAAGACTTTCATGTAGTTGAATAAAATGTTACATTGAATTCTATCAAAATAACATCCTTTACAATACAGTTACTTACTGTTATTCTCTGCATATATCCTTATAACCGGCATCATCTCGAAGAGCACCTTGGGCTTAGATTCAGTCAGTCTCATGTTTCTTCTGTCCCAACCAGCTCCTTCCAAATACAGCCCATACACATAGACACCTTCCAAAGGAGGGCTTGTGATATCATCCTTCATCCATTTAGTGACCTCATTGCACAGCACTACATTGTCAAGAGCCCATCCTTTGTTAGCCCTTGTTATTTCCTGCCCAAAATAGGCAAAAGTATGGAGGTTACCATTTTTACATGTGCACAGAGCCATTTTTTCCAAGCATTTATTAGAAACATATATGTACAGTCACAACTGATCCTCTTTAATACAAAAAAATTATTTTTTTTATGATATCCATGTTTGACTTTTCTCTAAGCTAGTGATGGCATGGTACCACAAGAAAGCTTTCAGTACTTTATCCACTATATTTTATTTTCAATCTTTCTATTATATACTTGGTATGGTCTTAAGATATTGTAACACAACCACTGAATGCCAATGGTAACTGGCTCTGGCAAATATGAAGATTTCACAGTTTTCATGAGACAAGAAAACATTAGCTGCATCTGCTAAGCAAAACAGTTCCAATGACAAAAGCAAAATGTATAAGTTGCTGTATATTTTCTGGAGTTACCTTCCTTTTCCTGTACCTATACTTTTCATTAACTGTATTCTTAATATGAGTAAGAGCTCACTCAGCTCTAAAGCTACATAAAGAGACTGCAAAAACCCAGAGAACACTTGGAGATAGACATGCTTAAGATTGAACATGTACTTCAAATTTAGTCAATTAGTTAGTGCACTGGACAACAGTGCTTTATCTTGTCCAATCCCTTACTATCCCATGCTATTAAGTTATGACAGACCTAAGTTTTATCCTGGTCTTGTAAATGATTTCCAAGATCTTTGTTTGAAGTAATTGGAATTAATGTTTTTCTCAGACTGTCGTTAATTAGCTGCTTTAAAAGAGCAAAAGAGTTATAGTTCAGTGATCATTCTGGCTCTTCACTTTTCTCATTTCTATTTGTTCCACCATATAGCAAAGCACAGAAAGTCACTTTGGTTTTTACTTGGGACATTAGGTTGTTATGTACCCACATTCTCTTTTTAGGGAACCAGAAAAGTTCTGTAGATTCCAACTGTTTCAGATCCTGCTACTAAACCCTTTCCACAAGCTTGGGTCCAAAGGAAAATTCCAGTTTAGGACAGTTCACTCAAAAGAAATATCTTGTTATATAATTCCAAGGCTATATGCCTGCAAATTTAGTAGATCACCGCTTAGAATTTCAGTTTGATAGCCAAAGATTACACTACCCAGACCTCAGAGCAAGAGCAGATATTTTCCTTCTCTGCAAATCTTCATTCTCTCCTCCACAAGTTAGCTTTTATCTGAGGTCCCATTGCATTTCCACCTGAGTATTCTTTCCCAGTTTTACAGATTCCAGACAATTATTGTCTCCAATGTGTCCCTTTATGCCGATGCACATAGGTATTTATTGCCTCCTTTTAAAGTAAAAAGTAGTTCACTTGTCAAATGCAACTAGCATGCTGAACAACCAACAAAATCGCCAAGTTGACAGAGACACATACATTAAAAAAATGTACCAAACTTCATGCTTAGTACACATTAATAAATCAAACGCCTTCCCACTTCACAAAAAGAGACTGAATCAGCTACTGAACTGGAAAAGCATAATTTAAGACTAATTCTGAATAGCTGTTCTGGCAAGTCTCCACCCAGGTAAGTACTGAACACGGAGCAAAAAAAGGAAAATAAATTCATGGGCTTAACACCTCTTCTCAGGGGTATCTCAGTGAGACATTACTTCTCCAGTCTGCCTTAATAATGTTGTAAGGTAGCCCCACATACATGGGGCTTGGATCAAAGTAGGAAATATATTTTAACACATTAGTGGTTTATGTACTGAAAAAGCATGTGCAGAGGAAGAACGCTTCACTCAGGAAATGTCAGACAGTTATGCAGTCACATATCTTCCCTGCTGACATGATGGATCCATGTATATAACTCAGCCTTCATCACACAATATATATTTTTTTTAAAAAGTATATCAAAGAATAAGCAGAGTGAGACTTTAAACACAATTTACCTGCCTCATTGCAGTTAAAAATCCTTGAGGATTAAAAAACCCTGTCATCCAGAAGCAGTTTGGTCGGCTTTCAAAAATCCAATTGTAAAATTGGTGGTTTCTTTCTAGAAGCTCAGTAAACCAGAAACCAAGTGTACTGGAAGCCCAAGATGCCTAAAAATAGCAAACGGCGTGTTCATTTTTTAATTTTATTCAACAGTTTTAAAATATCATATTCATGTCAAGAAAAGGTAATTCCTCACAAGGTAGAAAACTACATAATATTAGCAAAGCATATTTAAAGCTCATTTTTCATATCTTAATTTTTAACCTGATAGGTAAATGTTGCATCCCACTGAAACCTGAAGCAAATTCTTACTCTGTTTAAATTCACACCTACCATTCCATTTAGGCATGCTTAATGCTCCCTGTGGTAATTGTCCGCTTTATGACTTTTTTTGCAAAATTAGATAGCTGCATGAACTAGGAAGAAATATTGTCTACACGTCTTTCTAAAGCCAAGGTCAATGCATCAAGATAACAGGATCTCTGCCAAAACTATTCTGCTTTTTCTGAAAAAAGCCAAGGAAAATTGAGCTTGGACTATGTGAAGATTTATGATGATTTTTCTCTTTGAATAGCTGTATCATACTTGTGCTGCAAAGCATCTGCTTTGGTCTAGGCTTTGTACCAAGAGAACACTGTCAATAAAAACAAAACAAGCAAACTAAAACGCTGAAAAAACCCTCCCCATTTTTCTTTCCGTCAGTTGTCATAAACAGCTCTAGTTGTCCCTGTCCTGGTTTTGGCTGGAATAGAGTTAATTTTCTTCCTAGTAGCTGGCATAGTGCTGTGTTTTGGATTTAGGATGAGAAGAATGTTGATATCACACTGATGTTTTAGCTGTTGCTAAGTACTGCTCATGCTAGTCAAGGACTTTTCAGCTTCCCATGCTCTGCCAGGTGCACAAGAAGCTGGGAGGGGGCACAGCCAGAATAGTTGATCCAAACTGACCAAAGGGCTATTCCATATCATATGATGTCATGCTCAGTATATTAACTGGGGGGAGTTTCCTGGGTGGCAGCAATTGCTGCTCGGGGACTGGATGGGTGTCTGCTGGCAGGTGGTGAGCGGTTGCATCACTTGTTTTTTCGTGGGTTTTGGTCCTCCTCTTGTTGTTTTCCTTTTCACCTTTTTATTATTATTATTATTATAGTATTTCATTTATTAAACTGTTCTTACCTCAACCCATGACTTTTCTTACTTTTACCTTCTGAGTCTCTCCCCCACCCCACCAGGGGCAGGGAGGGTGAGCAAGTGGCTGCATTGTGCTTAGTTGCCAACCGGGTTTAAACCACGACAGTCCCTGAAAACAATTTCTATGGGGAGAGGCTGAGAGCTGGAGAAGAGAAGGCTCAGAAAAGATATTATCAATGTTTATACCTCATGTGCAGAGAATGGAAGAAGATGGAGTCAGATCCTTGTCAGTGATAGGAGAAGAGGCAATGGGCACAAGACGAAATGTAGGAAATTCCATTTAAATTTAAGGGGGTTTTTGTTTGGTTGGTTTGTGGTGGTTTGATTGTTTTTTACTGTGAGGGTGATCACACACTAGAACAGGTTGCCCAGAGAGATTGTGGACTCTTGATTCCAGAGAGTCCTGGGAAACCTGCTCTAATTGACCCTGCTTTCAAAAGTGGTGTTAAATTAGACTATTTCCAGAGGTCGCTTCCAACCTTTACTATTCTGTGATTCTACAACTACAGGTCTTAAAGAATAACAACAGTGTAGTCCACTAGTGTGGGTCCTATTTTATAAACTCCATCATCACATTTAAAATTATTCTCTTATGCTTAGCTTTTTATCCTGCCAATATGCAACAGGCTGTTAAAGTGGGAAATACCAGCATCTTCCACATTCATTTCTATTTTTATAAATGAAAGACGGCTTGTTTTGACTGTGTTTATTTTAGCCCAAAATCTGCTCCAGCAGTTGCACAGTCCTGGTTAACACTTGTGTTTGAAAAAGGTATTTACTGTATGCCTAACAGTTTAATCTATGTCTAGAGAAATAATGGTTTTTTTTCCCTAAAAAAAAAGTGACGTACACCTACTTTTTTCCAGCTAGCAGGAATCCTTCCATCATACATGCAGTCCAAAGCATCCCTCAGATTTTCACTCATAACAATTGTCCCATCAATGGCAAGTTTTAGGTCAGTCAGAGTGCTTCTCACTAATGAAATAACTGTCTGCATTCGTGCAATCTCCTGTCGCAAAAATATGTTCATAGGCTGAAAAGGTCCCATATGCTTTAGTTTCTCTTTTACCTGTAGGTAGAAAACCAAAGATCCTTCAACAGAAATAAAAAACAAAGGTGGCTTTATGTCATGGTTAGACCCTAACACAATTTTTAAGACATAATACTTCTATTCAGGAAGTTAAATGTTCAGTTTGCTATCTTCCTTGAATCCTCTTCACGACAGAAATACAGGATTTGTTCCAAGACAAATCTATTATGTTGAGGATGGCTATGTTTTTAGCCTAACTCATGATTTAGTCTTTATATCATTCTATGAGCTAACATCATTTAAACAGCATGTAGGCCATATCCCATTTCAAGGATTTCAGCTTTAATTCCAACAGACAGTTCCCAAGGTTGACTTTGCACAACCCAATCAAGAGTGATTGCCCCAGTCACTTTACCTCAGCATAGTAGCGCTATTTATCAGAAATGCCTGGGAACTATCACAATGCCAGGCAGTCTTGTATTCGAATAAAACTTGCTGATATGTTTTTAATCACAAGTGTAAAGTTAACAAATGAACAACAACTGTATGGACATAACTAGAAATTTTATAGTCAATAAGGTCCTACTGGGAGATAGGTGAAAAAATTATATATACCATGTATTGAATCCTACACAGGCTAACAGCCCTGTTCTTAGTAATATGTGTAATCTTTCTAAGTTTATCAGTATTTTGCTACACAAAAAAGAAATTTAAATAGTTTTCACCACGTGAAAAAGTATAGTGCTTCACATTCACTTTTATTAATACAAACTAAATTTCAATTTGTCATTTCTGATCAGAGCTGATCTGCCCAAAAAGAGCTCTTGTAAACTTAACAGGACTAACTGTACCTATACAATGACACTATATAATCTATGTCTTTATTAAGCCACATATCTATTCCTGGAGATGTCAAGCAGAATTTGAAGAGAGTTGGACTAACAACTACCGGGAGATTTAGTCCATCACTAAAGCAGCACCCTTCTGAGAAACTCAACAAATTGCAATCCTTTGCAGATCTCAGACGTCTGGTTCAGCCTTTTTGAAAGTCATAAAGCTCAGGCTTCTAGAAAGACAGTAGGTCAGAAACTTGAGCAAGTACAAACATTTTGAAGACTGCTAGATAATCAGTATTCCAAATTCAGATATATTAACTCATCTGCTCAGATAAAATACATTATGATAACTATGCCATTTGAGGGAAGATTACATAATACAAAATGGGCTACAGAAAACATGAAACAACAGATGTAAGACATGGGTACCTGAAGAGAGTCTATACTCAAGAGCATACCCCACATAAGGGAAACTTATTACTGTGTAAAAACGGAAGAGAGGACATTAGATTGTACAAGTCTCCTTGCTCCTTCTCCTCAGCATCCTGACAGGAGAATTTTGGCATTCATAAGCCACCTCGCCTTGTATCAGGCCCTCATGCTAACCTCCATTAAAGAGTAAGTAAAATGGCAGAAGACTAAGGATAAGAGATTTCACTCTCCTCAAGAAGGAGATGGCAGGCAAATTATCTAATTAATAAAACATCTTACTGCCTAGATGAGCAGGTGGCTACTTTGGGAGTCTGTTAAAGCACATAGGTGTGAACTTTTTTCTGATGACACATTGGGGTGATTCACGTCCATTTCATAACGGAAGTGTTGTAAATGCTTTATTACTGACATAACCAAATCTTACTTGCTTTTAAGCTTTCACAAATGTAATGAAACACAAAAGTTCAGCATCCCTGATACAGGAAATATAGGAAACTGAACTATTTTACAAGCATTTTCTTCTCATGTATTTGAAGTTCATAACCATAACTGTAATGTCAGCATCCTAAAATTCTGGGGCTCTAAAGGACAACTAAGAACTATGGAAAGACCCAGAAACAACACAAATTGTCCAAACACTCAATTAAACTGTAGTCTCCAGGATGGGGATACAGAATACAGTCAATTGGAGTGTCCATGTATCTAGTCATCAGTAAATGCTTCCTAACTGTAAGAACCCTGAGAGACATTCCATCTTCTACATAAACAGAAGAAAAGCTGCTATTTCAGAAAAGAAATGGCTGTTAGGCAGCAGGTGTCCATTACAAATATAATTACATGGGCTATTATGTGTTAATATGGATCCCGAGATACTAACACTAGGCTTCAATCAATGAAAGCTATCACTTGACAAGCTTTTCAGCATTCACTTCACTGAAGAAGAAAGCAACCTAAAAATATTTTCAGGATGCAAGCTGAATCCCAAAGCAATACATATGTTAAAGCTGTAATACTTCTAGAAGCATGAATACACTTCCAACACCACAGTGTGACACTACAGTGTCAAGAAGCTTAGCTTAAAAACTGATGACCCTACCTCCCCCATAGTGCAAATGACAACTTAAGCATTAAGTGGCTTAATATTTTGAAAAAGCTCTTACAAAAGTACTTCAGTGCACATTCAGTGGCTTCATTATAAATGTTAAGAGTCTGGTCAGACTTCTTTAAAATATGGTTTTGAAGTATTGCCTGTATGAATGAATTCAGACATGCTTTTAGAAAAAGTAATATCATTACTTTTTTTTTTTTTAATCCACACAAAGCAAGATGGAGCAAATGTTTTTGACAGAATTTCATTAACTCACTTCAAATGGTATATAATCAGCAGACATATCATCAGCCAGTCTGGCTACAACTGCCTCTCGGGTTTCACCTCCTCCACCAGAGCTATCTTTAGGCTGAATACTGAGGATGATGTCCAATATATCTTTTGAAAGTTTACTTTGGTAAGTGATATCCGCATTAGGGTGCAGACCAAACACCTCTGGTGTGTCATAAGCAGGAAGACTCTACATAGTAAAATATAAAAAGAGCACAACTGGAGATGGGTTTATAAGCTAATTATTTAAAAAAAAAAACAGACAAACAACAAACTCGCAACAAAACCAAATAACAACCACAAAAAATACCTGCCTTAGGTTATAAAGTAAGAGGCTAGATCAAACATTCTTAGGGCAAATAACTTGCTGTGATCTATTTGTCATGTCACAGCCCAAATCACACCAAGGATAACAACAAATTTGGTTTTAACCTCTATACACTATTTTAAGAGTCATCTTGTACTTTCATGTATCTACACTTTTTATTTCTGTGAGGTTGTACTGAATATATGGACTCCATTCTGTGCCCTCTTTGATAACTGTATGCCTTCAGGTATGTCCCTCAAGCAAACCACTTAAAAAAAAAAAGGTTACTGTCATAACAATGATGATAACATTGATGACAACAATTAGTTGTCACTTATGCAGACTGCTAGAAAGCAATAAAGGCTCTGTAAATAAAAGGCAAAATACAGGTAGTCAGAAGAAAAGACAAAGGAAAAGACAAGACTCAGGAACTTGTGAGAACCAAATGAATTGGGTTTTTTTGTGTTGAAAAGCTTTCATTTACCAACCTGTATGTACTGAAGGTATTGATCCACCATAGTACATTTGGGTATACTGTATCCTTTGTAGAAGCTGAATTCCTGACTGAATGTATTTTCACTGAACCAAACCTTTACAAAGGTGTTCATGAGTCTTTTGTCATAGTCATCTGTCACACGGCCACCATACTGGATCTCACCTATCATGTAACAAAGAGTACTCCAGGAGATCCCCTAAAACCAAGCAGAAAGCACTGACTTTAGCTAATCCTCTTCTCACCTATTTACATCTCCCTTAGTAAGAACAGCTGATATACCAAGTCCTGCATCTCTGTCCCTTTTGAAAGTTATTTTCTTACGACACTTTTTTCCTATAATCCTGCATTCCCAGAACACCTTCAAGGATTTCTCAAAATAGAATTCATTGACAACTAATTCAAGAGGCTATTCTGGCATTTGGGCAAAAGGGATACAGCTACATTCCAATCACACTTTCAACTTCACTTAAAATGCCAATCACAAAGTGATCTGCCACAGACCTCTACATGACAATTTACCATATGAAAGTGAGGAATGTAAGAGGAATTCTTACATAGTCATTTACAGCAACTTTCCATCTCTTTATGCTGCCAAGATAGGCTGGAGGAGCCAAATCTTATTATTTTTACTCAAAAATTATTTAAACAAAAGAATATTTAAAATACATTGGTCCACTTTTAACTACCTAGCTTAATTAGCATTGGAAAGAAGATCTATACTTCTAAGGTTTATATTTCTGAAATTTTCAGGGGTGACAGCTGGGAGGGATTTTTTCTTTTTTTAATGTACAGGTTAATAAAGAAATTGAACACAGGATTAAAAGTTTAATTTAAGCCTGCTGCTCTACAGACATGCATACTTGGAATGTTGAACGTTTGTAGAAAGAAACAAAAGAATAATTTAAAATCATGTTTGTGTTTCAGTTATTTGGAACCATGTATGTACAATTCCACTACTAGAAAGATCCATCACCCTGATCCACCTTCCCCATAAAAACATTAATTACCTTCTTGGTATCCATGCCATCCAAGTGGTTTTGAATGAACTGCACAGTAGCATTGAAATCAGCTTGATTAAACTCATAGGGTATATTCCAACCCAGAGATCCAAACTTGCGTCTTTCTTGAACAGTGGAGTGTAGAAAGGCTACAGCATACAACATTGGTTTCCATTGTACCATGTCACTGACATCTAGTAAATCCTGGCTGACACCTATTGATTGTAAGTGGGCTTTATAAGAAACGCAGTATTTTTCAAAACCACTTCAAATCAGTACTAAAACATTACTCCTAGAGATATTCAGTTGGATTTCTGCCTCTTCCAAGAGTAAATTATTGTCCTACAAAGCGTTCTATGCTGGAGACAGTTTATAGCATGTTATTAAGTTGCTCAAATTAAAAGAGTAAACTTCAGAAAAAAAAACCACAACACAATTTACTAATAGCTGAATTCACATTAAGTTGCTTTCTGTACCGACTCTGACTACAGACCTTTATTTTATGCAATGTAAAGAGCACTTAATAGCCAACAAAGATTAACATGTCGCTTTTCTACCGGAAGACACAAGAAGATTAAAAATTTAAACACTTTGAACAGAGATACTAGAAGCCAACATTTGAGAAAAGAAAAAGCATTTCCTGTTTTGCTGTCCGATTAGTTCTGGCAACAGAATTTCAGGAGGTTTTCTCTTCATTTTAATTTTCACAACTTTTAGTTCAAATCAAGGATCAAGATGTGTCCTGGCATCGTTGTGATCAGTTCCTCACACTAGCTTACACCTACTATCAGTGGCTACAGTGTGACCACATGATAACACCAGGTTCCAAAAATGAGCAAAATTTAACTTTAAATCATTACCAAACTAGCACTCACCACTATATGTTCTCTTTAGTCCAGCTCTGAGCCCTTGTGGCGGTTCATTGGTAAACTTAATAGACATTTGAAGAAGGGTGATGGGGAAATGTTTGTGAATTTCAGTTGTCATCCACAGTCGAAAGCTTTCATGGACAGTCTCTGTCTCTATTACAGTGTCCATCAACTCATCCAAAAAGTCAAGTCCAAGGTGGCAGTTTTGCAGAAGTGCCCAACCTCCCTAGTTTAAAAACAACAGAATACAAAGTTATCAACATTGTTTACAAACTGAAATCACTAAAATCACTCTGTTTATGCTGTAGGTTAGGAACAAAGCCAATGCATCTAAGCTATAGCAAAATATAGCATTTTTAAGTGCTTATGAGGGCTGTCAAAGGAAGAAATCCTCCACAGTCAATTTTGCACCAATAGCTCACCAAATAAAAACCAAGGCCTTAATCATTTGTTTTCATGTACATTTCATGTACAAAAAGAGACCAGTATCCATAGTAATGGGACACATGCAATTAACAAAGCTTTTTTTTCTCCAAGAGAAAGCTCATGTGAGCTAAGCTGTGGGCTGTTCCTTCTTGGAGGCATTGTTAGCTTGTTTGGTTTTATCATCTAAACAAGTGGTCCTTACTTGTCCAATCTGGTCTTCTCAGGTAGTCCCCACCTTTTCCATTCCAGTACATTTAAAACATATCTGGACATGACTGAAGTGCTGATAAACACTGATAAATCTTGACTTTCTAGGTAAACCCATGATTTCATTGATCCTAGATAAGGGAACTCAGAAGTAGCTCCATAGAGCAAACTGCTAAACTTTGCTCCTCACAAGGGTCACAGGCTTGGGAAAAAACCAAATATACATACTTAATTAACCTATTGCTATCATATCAATAAATATCAAACCTTTTCATATGAATTACCATACTTCATATAGACATCTCACGTACCTCTTCATTAAGAGGGTATGTGATACAGAGAGGGAAAGTGACTGCATTTCTCTTAATGAAACAAAAAGGAGTTCCTCTTCCCTATCTTTTGAATGAGTTTCTTCTCATCTGTTCTGCTAATTAGCTCTTAATATAAAGTTGTCAGATGAGAATCTGAGGCAAAAGTCAGAGGAAAACTGGTTATACAGACAGGGAAGAAGCTCATAACACAGGAGTGCAAGAAATTTAATCTGTTTACATCAGCAGGCATAGCAGTACCACCACCTGATGGGCAGAGCATGCTATATTGGAACAAATCAGCTTTTCTTTCTCATGCAGGAAATTTTGTTATTTAATTCTTGAATGTTTCACTTGCAAAATGCCTGTGCTATCAGATTGTCCATCCCAATTCAAAATCCAGACTACAGCAATACAAAATATTTTGCTACACAGCCTTGTTTTTCTCAAGGTTATGTAACTATCACTAGTATATTTGGAATTAATCTTCTTCATTTAACAAAGTATGTTTGTATTACTAAAAACACAAAACTAAAACAATGTTGTGAAATGCTTACTGAAGAATATTTAATATTTGTGCATTCCAAATGATTCAGCTATGTTCATCGGTCAACAACCTACAACAAAAACTCTATTTTATATGAAAACTGCTGATGCCTGCACAGCATCAAAAAGCTTATTATGGCCAATTAAATGACTGTGAAAAGACAATTCTATTGCTTCGGACACTTATTTATACAAATAAATATAAATTTTTGCATCAGCACTAACTACCCACCAAACAACTTTATTTCATGACAAGATTTTAATTTCTAAGTGTTTAATACAGATACAAAAACCAATCAGATTTTTGACCCTTACACGAGCCATTGTCTGCTGTAGAAGTTTACGAGCATGGATATCTTGCCCCTGGCCCATGGAAACACAACGCGTCTCTGTCTTCAGTCTCTTTCCCAAAGCAATAATGGAGTCTGTAGGATCCGAGCCCATGGAAAGAAAGCATATGAGAGGAGTACGTGGATCTGACTCTTCCCATGTCTTCTCTAAGTCCAAGATGGCTCCCTCTACATATTTCTCACCCATAGCATCAATGATGTATTTTCTTGCCTATATTAAAAAGGGTAAATTTAACCTGTGACGTAACCATTTAATATTGTTTTCTTCCCAGTGTGAATAAAACCAATAAGTAAACTGAAGAGCAAAGGCTGCTATAAATTTATATCAGAAAAACAAATATGCAATAAATTTATTTTTACGTGTTAACATATCATACTGTCTTTGATTCTTTCTTACAGACTTATAATACCAATTAAGACTTAAAAAATAATTATTTTATTATATATA